CAGATTTCTCGATTTTACTCTGATGAAGCCTTCCCGATTCTCGTTCGATGTAATTTTTCTACCATTGTGACCACCGTTCCTTCCTCTACAGATTGACCAAAGCAAAACACCAAATTGCGACTCGAGCCAGAGGAGCTGCCGCACCGGAGAGCCCCGCCGCCTGTAAGTTTCAGTTTTTGGTTTTTTTAGCCCACTGAGGGCCCTAGGGGTGTTTTCTCACAGGAACCAATGCAAGTTTGGCCGAATTCGGTCAAAAACGGTCAGAAACGGCCAACCCGAGGCTGATCGCCGCTGCAAGCGGCGAAGCTGCTGTGCTAAAATTCTAAAATTGGCCGAATAGGCCTTAGGTATGATTTTTGAGTTATTTAGGACATGTGTAGGTACTGTAAGTGCGTTTCAGTTCCCGAAAAAAAAATTCAGGGAACCTAGGGACTGTCCGTATGCGCAGTAAAAATTCTGTTTTCGGCTTTGAATCAAGTAAGGACCCCTCACCATATTTCCTATCATGGGATTAAAGTCTAATAAATGATAAAACTGTATTTGTACCAATTAAATAGATATACATAATTATTACGGTTGCTAATGAAGTCCGAATCGGATGTATTTCTCTGTTAGTTCCTGTTTAGTTTATTTCATAGTTTTAAATGCATTATGGTATCTGTTTTATTCATTCTATGATTTCGAATGCATGTATCACTGCTTACTTTATTTCAGCCTAATTTCGTGGATCTAATAATATGCTTGCCTTGTTGGGTGCTCGTTAATTGTTTAAGTATTCATATTTATGTGGGAAACGGAAAACTAAGAAAAAAAATAGAAAAGATATGTGAATTGATAAATGGATAAGTTGACAGTCTCACTAGATATCTTGGGAGATGGTGGACGGACCGGGTCCATAGGGAACCCTAGCGGGAACGTTGTTTCATACCGGACGGGGTATAGAGACTTTCAATGTTTTGGTACTCATACCAAACAGAGTATGGGGACAGCTCGCTTCACCCTCATACCGGACGGGGTATTGAGGTTTTATTATTTGGAGCCCATACTAGACGGGGTATGGGGACGGTCCTGGGAATTAAGTTTGTTAAATGAATGGTTCACGTGTAAGGAGGACCCCTATGGATCCCCACGGATACTGGTAGGCTGATAAAAAGGGGGTAACTATTGTTTGATGATTGAAATATAAAAGTATGACATGTATTATGATACAAACTATGTATGAATTCATGATATTTATGATGTTATTGTTTCCATTGGTCATTTTTATAAGTCCCACTGAGGTAAGTGGACGGTAAATGGTTTGATTATTAATAAATAAATTTACTTGAAACTTGTGCTTCATTGGTTATTTTTAGTTTTCTACTAACCTTTACTTTTGTGACAGTGATATAGTGTGATGTCTTTACTGGGCTAACGTAGCTCATTCTTTACTTAACAATTTCAAATCAGGAGGACTTGGTTCCCGAGCCCGATCTACAAGAAGACAACGAGTAGTTACCTAGATGTTTATTAGTTTCTTTTATAGTCTTTCATTTCCAGTATTTTCCTTTAAAGGACTTATTTTCAGTATTGTTAGTACGTTTAATTTATTGTGTAAGGGATATTAACCAGAACATTTTATTTCACTTCCGCAATTATATTCTTTATATATATTTCCTTTTTAAATTTTCGGGGTCGTTATACTACATCTCCTTCTGTTACTTCTTGGGCTGGTCGAGTTGGAAGCTTATAGGGCCGACCCTACTTGATGGCGTTGAGAATCCATCTTACATGATCCAAGCTTCTACGAACTGGGTCATTGTGCCTAAGTGGGTCTCCCTTCACTTTTCGGATGCATGTTTGCTTTTTAGGCCTTGTCTTCTTCCGGATCTTGGGTCGTACACCTATACCATGCATACTATTAGGTGTAGGATGGTTCTCGTCTTACGACTTGCTATCAAGGCTCATTGATATCATTCATTGATCTTGACCACGAAAGAAAATTATTTCTTTTTAGCACTGTCGATGTGAGCTACAATGATAGATTTTTATTTGGGTGAAGATACAAGGGGTTGGCTAGGTTTTCCTCACTCATTGAGGAATTTACAGTGAAAGATGTTGTTTCCATGGATCTTTAGCCAAGAAAACCAATTTTCTTTATGATTTGTTCAAAAGTCAGGAAATACACCGATTTAATGTTTCTCTGAACTAGATTTAGATCATCAAAAATATCATTGAATGATCAAAGATAAAAATTGTTCTCATACCATATTGGAAAACTAAACATGAACTAACTAAAGATTTACAAGAAATCTAAGTGAGTTGTGAAGCTTGAGAAGAAAAAACTAGAGAGACGATCAAGAGAGTAGAAAGATGGTTATGAGAGCGAAAAGAGAGACCTTCGGGTTTGGTAAAATCAAAATGGAAGTTATATTTTTATTAATGACATCTCAGTATTTGTACAAACACAATGAATGAGCTTAATTAGCCGATTAATTACAATTAAACTGTTAATTACAGAGTAATTATAACTAACCGCAGTTAACTACTTAACTACTCAACAAACTATAGTTGATATCTAACTATGGTTTACTGACTTTGATTACTCTAATATATTGCACGTGAAGATTAAAAAAAGAATGATTTCCTTTCTTCAAATGCGTCACTTGTGAGGAGTAACCCCAAGCTGAGCTATGCACGTGTTGAGCCTGGATTGGGCTGTATTTAATTTGGTTTTGCACTAAATAGATTTAAAAAGACTATATCCAGTTGGGTTTTAAATGGTTTGGGTTTTGCTTTAGCCTACGCACTAAAATAAAGGGTTACACTATTTTTTTTGGGCCCTTTCTTTTCCTTACATTTCCTTTATATTTTTTCTGTTTTTTTTTTTCTTTATGGCTTGATTGTTTGACTTGAATTAAGCTGACGAGAAAATGATCCCCTCCTCATCTCATCACATCCTTCATTTCAGACTTCAAATATATGTAATTAATATATTTTTATTTTTTATACAATGTTTATATTTTTATTAACTAAAATTATTAAATCCTAAACAATATTTTAGTTTTTCTTTTCAATTTGTATTGGATATACTGAGTTTATGATTGTTTTAGAATGATTTTTTAAATTTGTATTAAAAAATATGTCTAATTATAATTTAATTTATTAATATTAAAAAAGTTCACACGGGATCCAAATGGGAATTGAGGACAGGGATGGTGAATGGGCTAGTTATCACGAGCAAGGATGAGAAAGATCCTATCAAACACTGCATAGAAAAATTTTCATATTATAATTAAATTAAGAGGATGTTATAAGTAATCAAAACTATAACCACATGGATGATTTAAATTTTAAAAAGTTCGGTAGTTAGAAGTTCATATTATACTTTTCAAAATTACAAAAAGAACTGCAAGTCGTATAAGTTTTGAACTTGCAACAAAATTTTTCAAAACTTTTTCAATCTAATTTTTTAAACTAATTTTTTTGGTCTAAGTTTAATTATCTAATTTTATTATAGATTTATTTTTTAAACTTTTTTAATTATCATTCTTTAATTTTTTAAACCTTTTTAATTATCATTCTTTAAACTATTAAACCATAAATATTATAATATATACTTATATATAAAAAACTCCAAATCATAATTATTGAATAAAAAACTTGTTTAACAAAAACTATAGTTTTTTTTTAATTGTTAGACAACTTACCAATTTAATTTATGATCTATAAGCTATATTCTAATTTAATTATAAAACTATTTTTATTATAATTTAATCTTAAATTTATAAAATTATTTCAAAATTAATTTTTTACCAACTTCTTTTTTATCAATAGTAATACTTCATCTTGTATAATTTGAGTAACATAAAAAATGACTTAAAAATATAATAGTTCTATAAAATTTTAAGAACTGAAAATTTTAAAAAAAGTTATTGCGGAATTATTCTTTTTACTTAATATTTGTTTATGTTAATGTTTTTTACTTAAATAAAATATATTAATATTTTTATTAAATTTAATATTTAATTTTTTTAGCTTTTATATTTTATTAAAAATAAAATATGAATAGAATAAAATAAATTTTTATTTTCTTTTCAATTCCTTTCGAAATGAGAAAATATTTGGTATAAGAAAAAAGAGTTGATGTGTATCATTTTGATTTTTTAAAGAAAAGAATACAACTTATATTTATATTAAATAGAATATATTGAACCAAATCTTATTCATATAAAATTGATTTAAGAAAGGAGAATTGTATGGTTTTATGAAACTATATATTATGATTCGTTCATAATCAATTCTATATCTATTAGAAGTAGTTGATAATTTAAAATTTTTATAATAGTATAAAATTATTGCGATAATAATGAATTTATAAATTTAAAAATTAAATTAGAATAAAAAAATTAATTATAATATAATAAAATAAATGAAAACTGATAAATATGATTTCTTAGCTAGAAAGTATAATAAGAAAAAAAAATTTCATCTCAATAATGTCATATGATTTTATTATTATCATACAATATTATATATTAATAAATCATCTAAAATTCATTCAAGCACGCTTTTTATGATAGTCATGTTTAGATAAAATTGAAGTATTGAAATGCGAAGTTAAAATAAATACCACATCCCATCTTCACTTGTCCCTACCATGTGAAGCCTTCCAAATCTGAAAGTATGCAGGCAAAGACTTTACGATGCTGGCTTGACTTCCATCAACATATGGCATTACACCAAAACTATATTTTATTTTGGAAAATCAAAATCAAAGAAAACGCCTGTTCCTTCTCGTAACTCGTAGCTTCCTCTGAATTCCTAACACCGCAAAATCCCTCCTCGATTTCGGCTCTCTTCTTCTAATCAGCACCAGTCTTGTACAAGTCAACAGAAATGGAACAGCACAACGACATCCACCAAACAGATGACGTCTTCTCGCCTTTCAGCAACAGTAGTCAACAGTCCACTTCTCCTCCCCCGCGATCACCCCGCTTCTTCGACCGCTACTCCTACTCCTCGTCTGAGGACGACGACGACGACGAATGTCAGCCTTCCAATCACTCCATCGAGGCCACCAACAAGCGGCTCGATTACATGATTCAATTTCTAGACCGCAAACTCAGCAGTAGCAGCAATTTCACTGATAAAGGCGACAGCGGTGGAGGCGCCAACCGCTCTTTCCAAGCCGCCAACAGGACCGGTCCTTCCGGCTCGCTCCCAGAGTTCGTCGGCAAAGGCGGAGGAGCCGGGATCTTCAAGGTGCCAGTTCGAGCGGCCGTCCACCCCAATCGGCCCCCCAGCCTGGAGGTGAGGCCGCATCCCCTAAGGGAGACTCAGGTAGGGCGTTTCTTAAGGACGATGGCGACCACCGAGGGTCAATTGTGGGCTGGGAGCGAAATTGGAGGGTTTAGGGTTTGGGACTTCAAGGACTTGTATGTAGGCGGATCAGAAGTGGATGGTTCGGCACCGTATAGGGAGTCCGTGGCAGTGGGATCGCCAGTTATATGCGTAGTGGGAGATGAAGGGAGCGGAGTGGTTTGGAGTGGGCACAAGGATGGAAGGATCAGATGCTGGAAATTGAAAATGGATCACCGGCAGTTAGGTCTCGAAACGTTCAGTGAGTCACTCTCGTGGCAGGCCCATCGCGGGCCGGTTCTCTCCATTGCCATCTCATTTTATGGTCAGTGCGTCTGTGAATTCTGAGTCATTTCTTGTTATTTCTATTAAAAACCATTGCATCGCAATTCTTTAGGTCGTAGTCTGATTTAATTTAGTACGGATGAATCTGATTAAATTAGTTATTGCGTTGAAAAAATTGTAACATAAGGAAATTTGCTACATTGAAAATGTACGAAGGTTTGGCATACTAATAAGGTGTTAATAAGTGAAGCTTCTTCAGCTAGGTTTTTCCCGAGCACAATTGATTTTAACACATGTCTATTTTCTTTTTCTCACTAAAATCTAAATATGAAATTAGTCACATTATTCCTCAATTTCACAACATGATAAAATTCTAGTTTGGAGTGACAATCAAATGTTTTTGAACTAATATTGTCTGTGACTACCTTAATCAAACAATATCTTTTGTTTTTCAAAATGAGGTCATTCATGAGTTTTCCGTGTCTACACTCCACAAAACGACAGAGTGGCACAATAAAAAATTGTCACTTGTTCACTACTGCACATGCCTTCTTGTTTCAAACCATGTATCCAAATACTACCAATGAGAATCACTATTAATTACTACTTATCTTATCAACCAATTACTGTTTAGAATGCTAGATTTCTGCAGTCTTATAGAAGTTCTAGCTCTATTCTTTCTTGAGGTATTATTTAAAAAAAAATAGTCTTTCTTGAGGTATGAGTCACAAATAACCTTATCCCCTTGTATTTTGAGGTGTATTACCTATGTTAATATACATCAATCTCAGAGAGGGAAACTTGACCCTAAGGACATCAAGTGTGTCTTTGTAGATACTCGCCAACACAGAAAGGATACAAATGTTACTATCCATCTACCCAAAAGTTTTATGTATTTGCTGATGTTATTTTTATTAAGATGAAGTCCTTCTTTAGTCAATCTTATCTCAGGGGAATACTATACTAGAAGATAAGGAGGACTCATTTTTTGACGTTCCTCCATTATCGTTAAATTTTATACTCTAAAACAACCATCCCACTAGAAAACGAGAGCCTACAAAATGAGCTTGAATCTCAAGCCTTGCCTACTGAGCTTGAATTGTTAAAGGAGTATGTAATTAATAGTATATTTCCTTTTCTATTATAGAAAATTTGTATATTTAGGGTGTAATATTTAATAAAATACATATACAACCATTCTTCACATGGTATTAGAGTCCTAAGTTAAAAAACTTTAGACTCTTTTAAAAACGTTATTAGGTTTTTATTGTTGAAATAGGAAGTCCTAAAGGGGACCAACCTTCATTGCTGGCCACCACAGATTGGCCATCTCAACCACAAGCTGGTCTTCATAATCGACCTTAGCAACTGGAACCTCACAAGCAGAAGCAGTTAGAAGGAATTGCTCAACTGCCAGCCACCAGAACCACATGCCTGCACCTGGGTAGCCCTATATGGCCAATCTTGCCACAGCTGCGCACCTAATTTTTTCTGTCGAGTGCCCAACCTCTTCGGCCGCACACCACTAGCCGGACCAAGCTGCGACTCATCTTAACCCATGTGTCTCTGTTCAAGTTGCCAAGATCCATGCCGTCGCATTCCTTCTCAGCTGCTCTAGGTGGTGGTTCTATCCAGGGCACACAATTGCTATCCCGTGATTTGTTATTTGGCCTTGTCCTACAATTCTTAAAATATCTCGGAGGTTACATCCTAAAGTATAGAAACAAATTTCTTTATGGGAAACCCTACCTTAAACAATACAATCCACACTGCTTATTGCTTCTTCGGGAAAGACTGCTTGAGTTGGTCGCAATTAATTAAGATCAGTCTCAAAGGAAAAGGAAAGCTTACTACCTCTTCAACACTGAACCAAAAATAGGAGACCTTGACTTTGATGCATGAGATGTGGAAGACTCAATAATTATTGGATGACTTTGGAACTCTTTGTCATAAAAATAAGTAAAATAGTCATGTTCCTATCTACAGTAAAAGAAGTGTAGGATGCAATCATGAAAATCTATTATAAAATCAAAGACGCAACCCATATTTACTACTTGGATATTAAGAGATAGTCCATAAAGTAAGAGACCAGTCCATAAAGTAAGAGAACAGGTTAGTTACTAAATATTGTAACATGTGAAAGGTTGGTGACATAAATTGGATTAGTACCAGAGTCTATGATGGACTGTAGTAAGGATGTAGCTCGCTCAAACAATTTGTAGATAAAGGGTGGGCGTATTAATTTTTCCCCGGACTTCAACAATGAGTTGTTCAAGTAAAGGTCGAAATCTTAGCCAAAGACAAAATACCATCATTGAATGAGGTAATTGCTGTTGTACTAGTAGAAGAGAGTAGGAGAACGATCATGTTAGAATCTAGGTCCGCTAATACCGTAGTACTAATCTATAGAGGCACCAAGCCACACCAATAGACAAAAATAACTAAACCAAGCAGAAAATTTTAGGTCTAATGCCGATAAGATAGATAATCTTTAATTTACTTTTTGTAAGAAATCTAGACACACCAAAGATAAATGTTAGAACCTCCATAGCAAGTCCAACACCTCAAGGGATTGAGGTTACAAGAACACTCTATAGGAATCTCATAGACAGGTCCGTGTGGTCCACTAGAAGGAGGAAGACAAAACTACTAATATTAATAAATTTAAGGCTGAGATAGAATGACTATGAATTAGACTAGATGATCTTGAGAAAGCCACAAATATAGGTATGATGAAACACTTAGGTATGTTTCTTTCTCACATGGTTTCAATGTCTTGGGTGGGTTGTTTGAAAGCTCATGGATATTAAATTCATGGGTCGTTGATCATATGACTAATACTTCTAAATAATTTTATACTTACGTGTCGTGCGCTAGTAATAGAAAATTATCACGACATATGGTTCTCTAAAATCCCTTGCTAGGAAAGGCAATATCAAGCTGAGTCCTATTCTAGTTCTAAAAAATGTATTGCATGTTCCTAAATTATGTATGAACTTTGTGTCAGTGGCTAAATTATCACAAGATTTGAACTGTAAAGTAACATTTTTTTCTTCTCACTTTGGCTTTCGGGATCAAAACTCGAAGAAGATGATTGGTCATACTCATGTTAAAAATGGATTGTACTACCTGGATGCACCTAGTGGATCTCTTTCCACTATTTCTACCAACCTTAACCACAAGCGTTGGCCCTACCCCAAGATACTTGGTCATCCATTCTTTTCAATTTTAAAGGTTAAGTTTCCTCAGTTATTAAAAGTTTTGATTATCACAATTTACATTGTAATGTGTACAAGTTAGCCAAATATAAGCATATACAATTTCCTATTAACAATAAAAGAAGTGTTCTTCCATTTTTTTTAATCCATAGTGATGTTTGGGGCCATCCTACATTTTCAATATTTATCGGGTTCAATAGTTTGTGTCATTTATTGATGATTGTACTAGGATTACATATCTTTTCTTACTCAAATCTAAAACACTGAGTTAGTCACGTAACACTTAGGTTTGCAAAATGATAAAAACCCAACTTGGAATCCATATAAATGATTTCCATTGAAAATGCAAAGGACTTTTTAACCAACACAATCTCCTTTTTCATCAAGAAGGGAGTATTTATGCATCATCATGCATCCATACTCTAATACAAAAAGGAGTGGTGGAAACGTAAGAATAGTCACCTTTTTGTGATCATTAGAGCCTTTCTATTTCAAAATCATATCTTAAAAAAATATTGGCGTTGAAGCCGTCCTTATTGCTACATATATCATTGATCGCTTACCCTCAAGTGTCCTAGAATTCAAAAGTTCTTTAGAAACCCTTTCCAAATTCTATCCGAAACAAAGTGTCACAAACCATTTGTTCCTATGAATTTTTGAGTGTGTCGCCTATGTTCACATTTTTTCATATCAAAGGGGAAAACTTGATCCCACAACTTAAAATATGTGTTTGTAGGATACTTCTCTTCTCAAAAGCTGTATAAATGTTATTATCTGCCTAAATAAAAATCCTATCTATCTGCGGATTTCACTTTTGTTGAATAAGACATTTTTCTCAATCTTATCTTCAGGAAGAACCTATAGTAGAAGATAAGAATACTGAGTTCTTTGCCCTACTACCCTTATTACATACTCAACAATTACCACAAGAAAACCCACAGATACCACTAGAGAGCCCAGCTACTCAAGAAACTATACCTGATCTCAGATTCACTCAAGTGTATGTATATAAGGGGAAGAATCTAAGTTCTAAGTCGAAATAGGTTCAAGAATCTGACACAAATTTTAAGATTGAGGCAAGTCCTGAAATCCTACACAGTTTGATAATAATATATATTGCAATTCGTAAAAGAACTAGGGCATGCACTAAACCCTCACTTTTATTCTATCTTACAATTTGTATTATTTTGATAAATGTCCACAGTTTCATAAAAATTTTATTACAAGTTTGAACACCGAGTCTATCTCTAATACTGTATTTGAGGTGTTATCCTATAAGAAATGGAAAAATACCATGAATGTTGAAATGGAGGTACTAAATAAAAACTATACATGAGAAGTGGTGACTTGCCAAAGGGAAAAAGGGTATGAGTTGCAAGTTGGTATTCACAATAAAATATGAGACAAATATGACAATCGGGAGGTATAAAGTAAGATTGGTAGCAAAAGACTACACCCAAACATATAGGATAAATTATCAAGAGACATTTGCATTGGTAATGAAGATGAATCTAGTGCCGATCGTGCTATCTTTAACTACTTATTTTGATTGGTAACTGCAACAATTTAATATGAAGAATGCATTCTTACATGAAAATCTGTAAAAAAAAATTACATGGAGATCCCACTAGGATTTGAAAGAAGGGGAAGATCACATTAAGTTTGTAAATTGAAAAAGACACTTTATGAACTCAAGCAATAACATAAAACATAGTTTGGTAGATTTGCAAGGATGATGACAGGCTTGGGATACAAGCAAGCTCAAGGAGGCCACACTTTGTTAATCAAGTATTCTAAGATAGGGGGAGTTATCGCTTTTTTA